AATGGCTGCAGAGACGAACCTCCATTCTGGATCACGGCTTCACTGGGGACAGCCTAGATGACTCAAGCATGGGCATGCTGCTGATCTCATTCGCCCTAACTGCGAACACTCACTGTGGTTTTCATTTCTACCCAGCTCTTACAGTCCCCACTCTAAGAAAGGAACCTCCTCCTCTATTATTTTCCCCTCTTTCAGTTGTTGCAGTTATTCCAGCAGTCTGTTCCACCAGCACTGGCCCTGTCCGACTATGAGCTCTTCACTCAGGAGATAAAAGTCATCCTGACACATGCCCAAGTCCTTCCTCACTTTGATTTCCACAGTCCTCCTCTAGTGGCATTTCTCTGCTCCAGATCCCACTTTGCCTCCTCAGATCACAGGGAGACAAACCTGGGCGCCCAAGCCAGGTTTTCAGTTTCTATAGGTCAAAGTTCTTCAGGGGGAAAAAAAAAAAAATTAAGAAAGACTTCATTTTTTGAATGCCAACTAATTTGTAACTTTCCAGCACAGAATATTTCACCTTTGGCAATAAACAAACAACAGAAAGACCCAAAGTTATTTCCTTCTGTTTAGGCATCTGGTTTCATTAATCTCCTGGCTTTCACCAGTACAACTTGACTGATTCAGACTATCCCTCAAAAAAACCTTCTCACATAAAAACAAGTATATTAAATTAACAGAGCTGATTACAGAACAGTTTATGCATTTTGACAAAATGAATGTTGCCTCTCCATTTTGTGTGTTTTTCTATCTTCCATAAATTGGAGTGCTCTCAAAAAAAAAAATACACAGACTTCTTAACAACTAAATGATTGGTTAATCAAAAGTAGGGAAGCAGTTGAAATCAAGAGATAATTGTCTTACCTGTTGTGACACCATGAACAACTCCTTCCTTGGTCCTGGAACCTAAACAAAGAACAACATTAGGTTGAAAAGACATTTTCTTAAGTACTGGTACAGACTAGATGGATGATGAAGAGGGATGAATATATAGATTATCTACAGTTACATACACTATTTTCTAAGATTATTAAAAATTACAGAGAAATCCAATTTAACGGAACGGGCAAAACCATCAATAAAGAGCAACTATATGAATGTTTGCTGACTGTGGAAAGATGAACAACACTGGAAATACTTCTGCAGTTTATTTCTTGTATGTACTGACTTCCTTGACGTTTTCTTAATAGCTGTGTTAATTAAACCTCCCACTTTGCAAACTCACATGGATGATTCTGGACAGAAACCGTGTTAATGTCCTAAGGAGGCTCACACATGCCTTTGCAGAAGATCAGAGCCAAGCTTCCAGAAGATCCTTATGATTTCATCTTACAACTCTTCTCCAGATCTCAGTTTGTAAGGGTTAACAACTGTTACTGAACTACAGAAAAATCTAGAGGTTAAAATCATGGGGAGCTGGTAGTGCTAGCCAGATTCAGACCAAATTTGATCTGAAAGGGAAACATTAAACAGTAGGTAGGATTCAAACATGAAAATGCCACCAGGGTCAAACCCAAGCTCTGCTGCATCCAGCATCTTCCTTGTCAGGGACATGTGTGACAACTTATGTAAAGATTCTGCACATAGCAAACTAGAGGTGGTACTAGACTGAGACCTGTGTAAGCAATGTAACTCTGACACCCTAAAGACCAAACTGATTTCTGGAACACTCATGTAAAAATACCATGACTTTTTACCATGCTGCATAGAAGGGAACAACCTCTCATGTATTCAATGGGAAGAGAAACAAATTAGCACATACTGCTATTGAAAACACAACTCCATGTCTTTTTCCTTACCAGAGCTCTACTTGTCCTCATCAGGTTTTATAATTTGGCTACATTTCAGGGATTAGTAACCATCTGTGGACTATGATGCTTAACATTGTGCAGTTAAGCATTACAGAGACAGAGTTTATGCCCTAGTATGACAGAGATAAAATGACTTTTTTTTTTTTGCTCCCAACACAGAGATTGCCTTATGTCTAATTCAATTTTTTGTACGACTGTTATTCAGTATTTGAGACATTGTAATTTATACTTATGACGTTACACTTCAAACATCTATAAAATTTTAGATTAACACTATTTGTTAATTCATATACAAACTCATATAAGCAGAAACATATTAGAAGAAAATGTATGAGCAGAAATACATTAAAAGAAAGGAACCTTGCCCACAATTCTTTACAATAATACAATTAAGTTCTGAAATTGAATATAAGTTCATTCATCAATATGTCCCACTTGCTACTCGTGACAATTTATGGAACATAAGCCATGTATTTATGGCACCATCTGATTGATTACAGCACTGAAAAGGCTCTGTTATCCATAGGCAAGAGCAGAATAATAACCCATGAAAAATAAGAGGGGAAAAAACGCTGCATCTAGTAAAATGAGATGTTCCTTTAATTAACCTCTTAATGAAGAGATTAAACAGCTGACAAGTCTTCTCCTCCCTTTATTCTGATTTTCTTTTTTAAAAAAATCTTGTTTTCTCTCACTGAAAATACTCACCATTGAAAGAATAACCCATTTTCTTAAATCCAAGGTGTTAATGTCAAAGGACTTGGTTTAGGACTTTGTCTCTCAATCTTGTGGAACCATGAGCCCTGAAGAGGCAAAGCACTTTGAACACATACTGGAATTCAAGCAGATGATAGTTCTACCAACTTCTAGAAAGACCCTAACCACCATTTCAGGCTTACCATGTGTCTACCAGAATACTTAATACTAAGCATATGCTTTTAAATGCATTGTTAGACCTGGGCAATATCTCGTTCATCTTGTTCAAGTTATTGCCTGCAAGCCAATCTATTAAACACATGGAAACCTGTGAATCCCCAAATTCCCTGCAGCAGGTAAGAGATGGATGGTATGACAGAACTCCCTGAAGACCTCTGCAATGCATCTAACTCCAGAGGGACATACGCAAGTTGATTCTTACTTTACCTACCCTGACGTTAACACTGCCATAACCACAGCTAATACAGAAATGCTCATCTCTTTCTGTTAATGGAAAAGAGGCTTTTCTTCCATGAAAGCTTGGCTCACAGACCCATACAGAACAGAGATATGTATAGCCAAATCCATTAATTGGCAAACAACCAGGAAAGCGGTGGTCCAGACCTTACAGCATATGTTAGAGCTCAATACTATTTGCCCTTCTACTGCACACTTGCATGTAAGCAGCTGTTTCTGCAGTCACAGCTACAAGAGGACCTATAAGTACATTAGAATCTGCCAGAACAGTCCTATAAAAAAAACCAGTTGAATTTAGTAGAATGACTTCTGGCTGGCGATGAAGGAAAGCTGGTCATCCACACTGTTTTTGAGAGAAACTAGCTATCTGGCATTCCAGCATTCCCAAAACATCAATAATCTTGCTTATTGCACCCTACATAACAAGGGAAACAGAAGAATCAGAATAGTGATAACATAAAGACCAAGGAACCTGACACTGACCTACACTAATTGGATGATGCAGGAGCAATAGTAGTACATGGTAATGCTACTTTTCGAAGCTATAATACACATTTGTGTGCGGGGAGGGAGAAGCCAAAACCAGAATTTTTGCCTTTCTGAAATTATAAAAAAATACAATAGACTCTCTTCATTTCATTTTTAATCATCAACACTCTTATTATGCCAAAAATCTCAACAGTTTGGCAATACACTCATTTCTGGGTTTTTTGAGAGATGAACAGACTATTCCAAGCAAGCCATCCCTGAGATTCCGTTTGCTTAGTCAGAGCTGGGTTAAGACAAGGAAACATAAGCAGAAACTAGGGGAAGGAGAAACCGTTGTCTAAGGAAAACACTTCTCCTTGTGCTGAAGCCCGTTATTCCACCAAACGGACCTTGCGTCCCTTGGCTACCTCACTGGCTTTTCTACTACCAAAGGAAAACAAGAAACCTTATGAAAAGAGAGGGGCAGAGGAATTTCAATGGTCTTGCCAAATAGGTCATGACTGCACCGTTCTACTCCAAGGCCAGTTGCCAGCTAAGCACAAGGAGTAGTAAACAACTCATCTGCTAGTCACCCTGCTCCCAGTAAACTATTCCTTTGTTCTGCTAGGGTGTAACACATCAAAAATGACTGGGAACTTCCATTCCTGAGCACTGAACATGCACTCAAGAGTCAATCGACCAAAAACTTCAACTTCCTGGTCAGTTGACACAGATCTCAAAGGAGCTCTTGAGAAGTACATCACTAAGAACAAGCAAGAGCTTCTCACTCTTACTCTTGGGTCCTGGTTTCAAAATGAGTGGGGGTAAGTATTACCACTTGTTTTCACACAGCTCTTGAAGAATACATAGAGACACAGTTTTAAAATTAATGCTACATGATGCAGCATAGGAGTGCTGAGCCTCAATCCTCCTTTCTAATCAATGATCAGGCCATTGCTTGACATCAAGAAAGGACCTGATCCTGTGCTTACATGAGTCAAGACAGAGCCACTGATTTCAGCTGGCCGATGCTGAAATGAATCAGCAGAAGAATTTATTTGGGGGGGAACCACATCTGGAAGCATAAAAACACACTATAGACTATATTGAACAATATTTTGGATATTAAAAAGCAGGACAAAGACAGTGGACTGAGGGAAGAAAGAACAGACTAGTTAAAACAACCACTTTCCATCCCTTCCAAGCAGCAGCTTTTGTTAAGAGAACTCCTACCAGATAGAGTTGTATGTTGCAATCTTTCACATAATGGGTAACAGTGGTCTGTACAGAAAGGTCCAGATGTTTTCCGTATTTCCTTAAATTCCACCGATTTCAGTGGGAGACCTTTATCACAAAAGGAATCTGGACCAAAGATTTGCATATTCTTAATTCTCCAACAGCAGTGGAAGGCTGAATGTTATGGAGCTGACTGTTGAAACCAAAAATGATGGACAGGTTGCTCTAAGCCCAGCGTTGTTAGGTTCTTTTTTGCAAGATGCCAGGCAGCTCTCACAGCATGATCTGGCTGTGAAACTTGCATTTGAAAAACCAACTATAGAGGTATGGAGGGACAAACCTTCAGGAGCATTAATGCAGTGTGGTGCTCCACTCCTCTGCTCATAAAGGGGTTTCACCACCTTTTGCACTGCAACAATTATCAGCTTGCAGAATCAAGAGACCATCACACCAGCCTTTCCTAACACTGTTCAGCAGAAGAGCCACCCCTGCTGTGTATTTGGGAATTAGACAGACAGATAGTCAGCTCCTCATTTTCCCCCTTACCCTGCTTGATCCTGTTGAAACCAGCTGGGAAAGCCAGGGCTCCCTACAAGCAATCATGGGCAGGCACACACCCAGACACATGAGCTCCTGGAGACACCTTGCAGCCAAAGGCTTCCAACTTGCATGACTGAAACTGTGCATACAGCTCTTTCCTCCTGAAAAGCAGGCATCTGCTGTGGGAAAGATCTTTCACCATTATTAAAGTCATATGCACTGGTCCCTATCATGGCTCAGGGTTTGCTGTCCTTCCTATTTATTCTTGAAATACATAGCAAGCCTGCCCTCCAAAGTTCAACCTCAGCAAAATCATCTCTGAAGACAACAAGGAAATCTATTGCCTCTGGGAGCAGAACTAGGTTCAAATATTATTACAGTCTGGAGAACAGGTCTCCCACAAACATTAATTCAGCACACAACATAAGTTTCTAATACAAAGAAATCAATGACCCCCGAAGCATGGCCAGGAACTACAATAAACCAAAATTTTAAAAAAAGAAAGCCCTACCTCTGAAAAAAATAACTCCAACATCAAGCACAATGTACAGTGAAAGAACATCTATTTTGAGCCACTGAAAATGAGCAGATGCTCATTTTAAAATAGCCTCATCTTACAATTAGTTTTCAAAATGACTGCCATCTCTGTTGGCAAGAGCACCAAGCTTTGCTATGGCTCAGCAGCAGCAAAGTGTATTCCAAATGAGTAGTCCAAACTATCTGGAGCAGAAATAATTTGTTACAGACTGGCACTAGCCTGCACGGGCAGAGGGAATCCTGAAAAGACATTGGAATTGCAGACACCTCAGTGCTCCCATTAAGAAAAAAAAAAAAAGACTCTGGTTTTCAACTCTGTTTAGCTTCTCTTTGATATCTGTGCACATCTCCCCAGGTACACACAGTGTCCATTACAGAATCGACCTGCTACAAAATCATCAAAAAAGAAAGAATCTACAGAAAATAGTATCTTCCCTTCCCCCCCCCCATTCTTTTATAGACAAACTTTATTTGATTAATAGGATAAATTGATCCTTTTTTTTTTTTTTTTAATGACTATTCATATGGTCTTGGCAGATTACTTTCCTGTGAATTTTTCATGGTAGCATTTGCAAGTTAGACCTCTAAAGCCCGATACTTGCCAAGTGAAGATGATGACTGTGCAATCAAAGTACTGATTTGGGATTTGAAAGTAATTTTATCCCTGGTTCTGTGCAAGACTCTTGTCTGTCCTAGATAAGTCACTTAACAACTGCTTTGCTACCTTGGGGTCCGATTGCCCTACCTCATTAGCTGTAGTGGCTCTTTCTTGAGAAGCCATGGAAAATATCTGCTAAGGATATGCAATAGTAAGTACAGAACGTGAATTTAATTTCCAAAGATGAGGAGATGACACTTTGCCATACAAAATGTTACTGTTGACATGCCAAGCAGTCAGGATGGCTTATGCTCAGTTCTTGAACTAATCTCTCAAGTTTCTTCTCTTAAAACACTACTTAAACCCCACATGTTACAGAACGTGAATTTAATTTCCAAAGATGAGGAGATGACACTTTGCCATACAAAATGTTGACATGCCAAGCAGTCAGGATGGCTTATGCTCAGTTCTTGAACTAATCTCTCAAGTTTCTTCTCTTAAAACACTACTTAAACCCCACATGTTCATAGCATAGGATGCTATGAAGCTACCTTCCACTTCAACTTTTACATATTTTTTTAAACTTTTTTTTTTACTGCACCATCAACCCCTTCAGTTTTAACCATTAACCTAGCAAACCTCTTGAACAGAGAGCCAGCTAGCAACCTGTACTGCAAGGCACCTCCTACAACATGACCTTGTTCAGTGTGTTTTTACAGATGTGGCTCTACTCCACAGAGCAGTAATGCACGGCTGGCACAATGCAGTGATGGAAGAACCAACATTTGGCTTCAAAGAACTGGAGCTCAGAAGGGCACAACTCTCCTCTTGTTTGTTTTACAATGGTGTCCTACAAGCCATTACATATGTGGGGGGTTTTGCAGATGAATAGGTCTCATGAGGATCCAGTTGTGAATTTCAGGGCACACCAAGTAGCAGCGTGATCCCCAGGGCCCACCTACCCACATAAAGGACGCCCTCTTTCGTCTTCCCTGCTGCCTCTGCCACACCCTGCTTGGTCTTTTCTGCTGCTGCTACAACTCCCTCCTTTGCCTTGGAAAGTCCTTTCATGAACACATCCATGGCTGAAGAATTTCTTCACACAGCTCTAGAGAAAAAAAAAAAAAACAAAAAAAAAAAAAAAAAAAAAAAAAGACAGGACATTTTCAGTGAGATTTTTTTCAGCTTTTTATCCCTGAAAGGGAAGAAAATTCTATTCAAACCAAATGGGATCACAATTACTTTAAAATTGTATTATTTCTACACCCATGTTATGTAGCTTTCAACCTCATCTTTATTACCAATACACAAGCACCTCTCTGCACATGAGGCTTCACTCAGTATTTCCAATAGAAAGAACAGTTAAATAAGTAGAAAGAAAAGGAGTATGATTACACGATCACCTTCACATTTTCTCACATGCTGCTGTACACAGCAAGTTAAACACCACTTCAAGAGCAGTTCCCTCAACCCAAGCAAAGCCTGGGGATCCTGTTTCCACAGAATCCTATGGAGAGGTTGCCAATAATACAGTTCTAGTTAGAAAATGGATTCATTGATACAAGAAGTCCGTTCCTTGCCTACCAAGGCAACATTTCCTCCAAAGAACAGTTCTGTTCATGTGGTGATTGCAAGATTTAGCCCTGTGGTTTGATGAAACTCTACCTCTCACCCAGAAAAAAATGCAAGCTTAAAGAAACACTACCAACCTAAGAAAAAAAAAAAAACAACCCACAAACACAAAACCCACAAAAAAACCCCAAATAAATAAACTACAAGACCCTCCAAAACCCTCCTAAATGACAGATATTCACTTGTTATTAGAAAATGCCATTACAATGCAGAAGAACTGGAGCAAATAGAGAATGCTGCTTTTCCAGTAGTCTAGCATTTTGTGCACAGTCCATGCTGCGCTTCTGGAAACTGAATTTTCCCAAATGGGATCTTTGCACGTATCAGGACTGAGAAGAGGTTTTACTAAAAAGCAAGAGCAAGAATGCAGGATTTTAGCAGCACTGCACTGAAGCTGCCAAGTGAGTTCTGTGGCAGCTATACAACCCAGCGTTACACTGAAACTACTAAAATTGTAATTAAAACAAAGAAGTCGGTGCCCCTTCAACAAGTCCATTGTCGATAGTCCTTTCTCTCCCTCCACCCACACAGAAAGAAGAGCTGCCTGTTATTTTATGTTCTCTGCTGGAGGCCGAGTAGGAGGAATGGATATCTAGGAAGGCATCTGGGCTGCCGCAGCTTTCTACTAACTCATGACGAGCGTGTGAAGAAAGGCAATGTTTGTGCTCCAGCCAAACTGCCCACGGTACCTGTCACTCTGGGGCTGTGGGGGTGCCTCATCCACATGAGGGAAAAGGGGGCAGGCCCTCCGCCCCGCGGGACCCTCCGGCTCCTTCACCGAGAGGGTCCC